GCGCTCCTACAATTCAAAGCGGCAATGTCTTGCAAAGATCTGGTGCACCGAAAAAGGAAGTTGCAACAGCTACTCGACCAGTACAGTGGTGATAAGAATGTGGTCAGTGTATATTTACAACAATTTCAAGCAGCATTGAAATTGGTGGAGTTTGTAGAGAAAGAACGCAATGTGCTTGATAATCTAGTAGATATGCACTCCACGCCTATTGAAGTACTTTACCAATGTTGCCGCAATCACAACAACTGGAAAGAACAGGATATGACTCGTACCGTATCACCGTTTCGGCTAAGTGCGGATCTACAAATTTCACCGGCTCAATTGGAATGGACTGCCTTGAATGAGCGTGCCAATGCACAAGCCTACGCTGATCTGGAAAGTGTATTCGAACGTATTCCCGCTTGGAATCCTATGAAGACAAAACAATTTCATATAAGTTTTTCATTGGAACTGGCGATTTTACGACTTTACTCACTGCAAGCACCCACAAGCGTATTGTATATGTTTTTAACAAAAATGAGCAACGCAACAGAGAAATTAGAGCTTGCCCAGCGCGTTAAGTGTGTGCGTGCGGTAATTGATGCCCTGACGGGCATGAAGGATGTAAATCAGTTAACCCAACTTAAGGACACATTACCGCAGCGATCAGAAGAGCAAATTTACTGTGAAAAGGCGCTAAAAAGTTTACAAACAAAGCGTTGGACTACGGAAAACATAAAGTTGAAGTTGTAAATAAGCTGGGTAATGGGTCTTGGGGAAAGCAGCAATATTTTGGATGTGTAGGACGCATTATCGAATATTTTTTGAAAAACTTTGTTATATGTATACAAATAATTTGTTTTTAAGTAAGCAACTTCGCGTAGTATTTACGGTAACTTCATTTGTTACTCATGTTTATATGTTAATACATATATGCAGGAATAAGCATCTGGCAAAATAATAAAATTATAGTTTAAAAAACTAAAACCTCCCTATTATAATTGTCATTCGTACTGTCATCAGGTATGTAACTTAAGAATAAAAATCGCTGCATCTTTTAGGCGCATCAATATTACATAGTTACATCCCGAGATAATAAAAGGAAGGCAAAAAAACCTCTAATCTTTTTTTTTGTGATGTTGGGAATTTCGTTCGAATATTTTAGTTCATCAGCATAAGTAGAACTAAAAATGTATCAATTATTATGCTTTTTTAATATTTATTTTGGAAAAAATTTTTTGTGTCATTCATAATCTATTACATTAATTAATATATTTATAATGTTCACTGGTATGTATACTTGTATAATTGCATGTATGGATATATCTTTGCTAAGATAATATAGTGTTTTTGCAATCGCAGGCGTTTATTTTTACTATAAGAGTAAGATAACTGAACAAATTTTAAGATCACAAGCTAACAAACGTACAAAATAAGCACATTTATGTGATTACGTGTGTGCATGTAATTACTGATTTCCTATGTATTATTGTTTAAATTTAATTTTTTTATATATTCAGCTATTTATCAAAATTATTGAATTAGTAAAAGTTTAAAGCAGTTCCAGTTTGCAAAAATATTAGCAACAAAATTTTATTTAGCTTATTTATTTATGAAAAGCTCACAAAAGCAATAATTATTTTTTATACTAAATTTTAGATGATTACTTTATCCTTATAACGTTTTTCGGTTGTCACATAAATATAATTTAAACTGTGCTAAGTGTACAAAGTGTAAAGGACAATTCGCTAATAAAAGCGAATTTAAAAACTATGATAACTTACAATTTTAAGAGGCCTTTATCGAGTATTTATCTTCGTTTTATTTGTGGTAATTTTATATGTATGTATTGAACTATGTGTTTCAAAAACTAATTGGTCATTTATCTACTCAATCTTTGGATTCTTTTGTGGTCAAAATAATTTAAAGAAAATATATGTAAACTTTTAAAAATCGTAATATGTAGGTGGTTGTCGTTTTCGTTGACTGACTGCTATCGACTTGGTATTGGCGGCTAAGCAAATTAAAGTTAATATTTTCATTTTAAGTGAATGAAGATTGAAAAAATAAAAATGACAACTTTAGAAATTAAACTCTCGTACTGAAGTAATCCCGGGCTAAATCAAAATTTTCATTTATGAAAATTGATCGCGATACCAGTTTGGCTCCCACGATAGTCGGGTCTACGGAATCGGACTGACCCAGGTATATATTCGGATTCGCGTTGATCTCTCAATGGATCTTCATTTCTAAATCGACTTGAGGGGCTGAACCACGACCTTGGGCATTGCGTTCCCCGACAGTCGGGCCAATAGTACTGGAACGATCTAGATCTTTATCTTTATCTAGATTAAAACAAAAAAACAGCTGGTATGCAGTAGGCTATTAAAATGACTCGTAGTGGAGTGCCACTATCTGAAAATGGCATGTGCAACCAAAATTCCCTAGGATAAATCTNTCGACAGTCGGGCCAATAGTACTGGAACGATCTAGATCTTTATCTTTATCTAGATTAAAACAAAAAAACAGCTGGTATGCAGTGGGCTATTAAAATGACTCGTAGTGGAGTGCCACTATCTGAAAATGGCATGTGCAACCAAAATTCCCTAGGTTAAATTTGTCGTAATTCCGGCTCTGGACCTACATTAAATCTGTTATTGTACAAACAGAAGGATAGTTGCACTGAATCCTTGCATCCAAGCGCTATCCCATTTCTTTTCTGTAACTGTACCATAAAATGCCTTTTTGTTAGTAACTCGCCGGAACGTTATATGCCTTTTCCCGTACTCCAGTATTTAGTTAGAAACAATCAGTTTTTTCCGTAGGCAGATTTACAATATTTTCAGTAGCATTTTCCGGAGGAGTATGGAAGAGACATTTCAAAAGATTTTTTTCCCCCACCATAAGTGAACACGAGAGTTCGTTAATCATTTTGATATATAAGGCCGATGAAAAGTGACGAAAGAACATATCTATGGACTGTGTACGTTTTTCGCGTTAACTTTAGGCGAAGTCAGTATTAAACCAAGGGAAAGAGAAAAAAATACAACTCAAACACATAAGTAACGCATATAATGTATGAGGTATAAATGAATATAAATATGTATGTATGTATGTATATGTATATTACATTTTCTCGTTATAACACAAATATATATAAATTAGGTGTAAATTTAAATACAATATAAAACGCCGAAAGAACTAAAAAACAACTCATATCACGAATTAATAAATTAAAAACAAGTTAATCTAATGGTGCTTAGCACCAGCAACTAATTGTTGCAGTGCTGCATCAGCCTCTGGCAAACGATCGTTTTGAACTTAACGCTTAGGCTATCGAATATCACATCCGTATCCTCCAATTTATGTTGCGACTGCTCATTATCGTTTTGATTTTGATTTAGGTGCGCTTCCTCGTCCGCAAAATAGCTCTTGAATTTCTCATTTAAATTTCTCTCCAGCATGGTATTGTTGTTGTTAAAGAACAGCACATACGATAATTCGAGCAAGTAGTACTCAAGATCACCCATAAAGAAACGTTCGCATTCAAGCATATCGAATTTTTGCGCCATAAAGTGTCTCATCAAATAGTAAATTAAGTACTTCACATCTTGTCGTCGCAGCGGCACGAGTCCCGTGTCCTTGGAGAAGTATGCGAAAACTTTCAATGCTTTATTTGCGCTGTTGCAATTTTGCAGGCACAATACAAACGCATCCACAAATTTGAAATTGAGCATAAGTGTACGTACGCGATACTCCAGGCGATCTTTCGAGAAATCACTAATTTTGTCGGGATTGTACAACCCGTGGAACACGTACAAGCAATAGTGTATATACTGACGCAGCTGCTGTAAACTCTCGTCCTCCTCCAAAGTGTCTTCTTCACCTTCGACGGGCGCATTCGAAGTGAGCGTACTTTGCGAACCACCGGCTTGTGGTGTACGTTCGTCGTTTGCCTTTGTTTCCGCTACCAGTGGACATTGTTCCACACTCTGTTGGCCGGCCACAGCACAGCTTGTGTCCGAGTTATCCGTAACGGGTAGGCGCGCATAACTCTGTTCATCTGGGGTTATATCATCCACAGCGATACTATGCTGGCCATCTTCTGCCGTTACTGCTGACGCAGGCACCACAACAGCCGCACCTGACGAAGGCAGCAACGAAAAGTTCAATGAACACCCATCGTTCGGTTCATTGTTACTTAAATTCTCTAGGCTTGAGATCATTTCATCGGAGTCTTGACCGGTAACTACATTCTCACTACTATCAGCCTGAGTAGTGGACTTATACTGATTCGAAGGCGATGGACGCTCAAAGTTAGCCGCATCATCGAAACTTATGCCAGCCTCTTGCATGAACTGGGGTTGATATTTAGGTATACTTTTCAAATAGCGTACAGGATCTGATTCCAAACGTATGCGTGGGCGTGGCAAATTTATTTCGACAGGCATGTCTACACATTGACTTTCGAAACGCATTAGCCGCTTGGTGGTGGGCAAACAAACAACACGCTGTTTCATTTTATCGATGGAGGGACCCAGATCGCGACCGCACTGTGAATAAATAATTTGCTAGAAAAAAGTAGCGTTATAACCTATATCTGAATATACCTGTCCGTTTGAATTGCCACCGAACGCCTTAACCATGTATTCCGTGGTCATGACGAGCGTAAAATCAGCGCCGCAATCAACGTACATCGGACGATCGACGCAGTCCACTGGCGAGGGCTTGCTGACTGCACGGCGCTCCTTATCGCCTGTGCCCAGCTGGTGTTCTAAATTTTTGCCCCAAGTGTACAAAGTGCAAGTGGATGAGATCAAGGCGAAGTGGAAGAGTCCGCTTGAGATCTGTGGAGAAAAGAAATAGCAAAGCTAAGTTACGTGTTGAAAAAATTGTTTTCACATGTTTGCCCATACATTTTATTTTCCATTTAAGTACGTTAAGTCTTCACAAACTATATCTTAAATCGATAAAGTAAATAAAACCAAATTGCATGTACTAAACTGGAAGTACATAAATCTTAACATACCTGTAATATTTGCCCTGCCACTTCGGTTGTGTCCACCAAATGTGGTGTCATATGTTCGCAAGGATCGACGTCAGCAGCTGATGCATTCACCGTCGCAGCCCCTGACTTCTGCTGTTGGTTGTCTGCCGCATTTGCTGAAGCTCCGTCAACTTCCTGCGAAATAGGCTTCAAAGGCTTTAGCGGTTGTGCAACCATCGGCTTAACTTTTTCGACCAATTCCTCAACAACATCGTTTACTAACTGTATGGTGATCTCAGTGCCGGCTGCAGCAATTTCTTTAACTATGATTTCTTTCATGCCCTCCTCTTTCAGTTCGTCATCTTCTTGCACAGCAATAACACTTGATGCCAAAACTTCATCGAGCTCTAGGTCTTTGCTTGTATTCGGAGCAACCATACTTGTTACTGGAGCGATTTCGGTCGTGGCTTCAAGAACGGTCGGTGCTGCGGTTTTGTCAATAACATCTGTAAGTATGCTAGAAACAATTTCATTGGCCATCGACTTGGGTGCTTCCTCATAAGCGCTTTTGGACGTTGATGAAACGCAAGGCGTGCTTGTGGTGTCACTGGCTAATGTAGCTTCGAAACGTTTGCTCATTTCACGCCGTTGATGCTCTTCCATTTTTTGTTTAGCATTCGCACGTCGTTTTATCTGATTCGCCAAACGTAGCGCCTGTGGCGATGAGCCCCACGTGTACATGTGCCCGTTTTCATCGACAGCTAACTACGATTAGTTGGTGGGGAGATCCATAAAGCGTATGAAAAAATAAAAAATTAACACAAGAAGCATGCTTACGTTAGAAAAAAATTTGGTATGTATCAGTCTTATTCTTTCGGCGCACACGAATAGCTTCAGTGGCACCAAACTCTTCACTTGACTAGTGCAATGCATTCCATCGTCGGCGGAAATGTTGCTGCCTTCTTCGACATTTGACAAACCTGTACCAACACCCAATTGTCCAAAATGGTTAGAGCCAAACACAAATAAATCGGTGGCATTTGGGTTGTTTGTTGTCTGACAGAGAACCAAGCTGTGCGCATGGCCCAGGGATACTTGGAGTATTTTCTAAAACGTGAAAAATTTAGTAAGTTTATATAAACTCGTATTTCCAAGGCTCACCTTTGATTTGAAGAATGAAACTACTNGCCAAAATGGTTAGAGCCAAACACAAATAAATCGGTGGCATTTGGGTTGTTTGTTGCCTGACAGAGAACCAAGCTGTGCGCGTGGCCCAGGGATACTTGGAGTATTTTCTAAAACGTGAAAAATTTAGTAAGTTTTTAATAAACTCGTATTTCCAAGGCTCACCTTTGATTTGAAGAATGAAACTACTTTCGGTTCAGGCACACTCTCGCAGTTCCCATGACCTAGTTGCCCATATATGCCCCAACTAGTTAAGAAAGAAAGGCAATTTTGAATTTATCACTTAGATACGTTGCTCTACTGCGCCCATTCACTTACCCCCAGGTATATAACACTCCGTCAGCAACAGCAGCATTGTGATATTGTCCCGCTTCTATGATTGTTATATTTTTACCATCGAAAGCGCGCACAAGCATTGGTTGTAATGACACTTGCATATCGCGTCCAGTGCCCAATTGCAGAAGATTATTGTTGCCAAAGGCATACAACTATATTTCAGAGAAATGTTAAATCAGAATTATATGCAATGAGAATTATAGGTATACGAAATTGTATAAAAAACCATACGCACCCCATTGTTCGTTAATACTAAAGTATGCTGCCGTCCACATTTCACTGTATGAACTTCCAAATTCAATTGTGACAGCAAATCTAAACTTTTAACTGCATGTGGTGGCTCTGGAGGATCTAAATGCAAAGTATTTGTTGTTAAAGAAGGAATTAAAGAAAGTTGTTAAAGAAAGAAATTAAAATTACGACATACCGGAAGACTTGTTAACGCTATAATTGCAAGGCANTTACTTATGTATTTAAAATTACGACATACCGGAAGACTTGTTAACGCTATAATTGCAAGGCACTCCATTCGAACCCCAAAAGTAAGCAACACCATCCACAACGCAAGCGCAATGTGCACAACCAGCTGAGATAGGTTTGAAACGAGACGTTTCGATTGCAAACTGTGAAAACATATAATGGTCGTCAGGAAAGATAAATATTAGTATTTTATTTATAGAAGTATTAATATCAAACTGCCAGCATGCCTACCTGATTGTCCTCGTATGTTATACGAAATGTAGATAAAGCGTTGATTATGTGCTCGCTCTTTGAACGTTGAGATTCCATGTATATGAGAACTGCTAAATATGTCTCAATTAGATTTTTACAAAAATCAAATAAAAATGTTTTATTGTCATTTATATTGAGCTCTAAGTGACCGGAGGAAGTGTGCGAAACCACTGGACGAAGTACGGCAGAAAAAGGGTTGAGTTGTTGTTCTAAGCGCTGAAGCAGAAATATTTAAAAATATGTTTTGCTATAATTTCTAATGAAAATAAGCACCCACCTTAAGTACACAATGTCGTATATTCGGAAGTTTCTCTTGAATAAAACCAAAATAGTCCACGGCCACCTGCGGCAAATAGGTGATTGTTTCAGCGAACATTAGTTCACTCAAATTATACAAGCACACATTCATCTCTGTATACCAGCCTAACGTAAAACAGTTATTATTCCTTTCTTGTAAACAGTCTTTACGATATTTACCGAACTCCTGTCCAACAACGCTGGTCAACGCCAGAAATGTGTCTATACAAACGCCTCGCGTCTTCGCCAAAATAAGCGCAGAAGAGAAGAGCCCGCTTTGACAAAGTACAATGCTCGTCATATTCGTGTGGTATTTTGTGTTGGTTACCAAGAAATTCCTGTTTTTAATTTTTTTTAATTTCACAAAATGTACCAATCATATGACAGTCGTATACTTACCATAGTGGTAAGTAATTTTTATCATTCACGGCGCGTTCCGCCAGTGTTATTAACAATAAATTGGCCAAATGAAATTGTGATGATGGTGACATTTGTAAATTACTAAGCGAATCATCCACTCCATATGTGTAATCACCCGCTGATTGCCCCTCATTCACCACATTTAAGAGATTTGTGCTTTTCGAGAATGGCAGTACGGAGCGCACATCCTCCGAATGGCGATATGTAATATCTTTAAGCACCGTTTTTATTATGGGACTGCAAAAATATTTCGACTTGAGCAGATATGTCGTTTTCAGCGCCATAGCACAGAGATGCATTAGTGCACATGTTTGTCCGAACATGGCTAACTTGAGAGCTGTACGGATGGGTTTAATTCGTGCTGAATTATAGGTGACGAGCGCTTGTGTGACCTTCTTGCGACGCAGTAGATAATCACCCGCAAATTCTACGCACGCTTCGTAAGCGAGATCAAAGGTGTTGCAGAATTCACGACATTGTGTCCATTCACCGGCTAAAGCAGAGTCCAGGAAGATGGCAAACGGCTCTTTTCTGGAATGAATCAAAGATTTGGAGAAATTTACAAATTTAATAAAAAAAATACAAAAATTCACTTTAATTGTATGTAGTAAACATTTTTGTTGGTGACCACATAGCAGGGATCATAGTTGANCAAGATTTGGAGAAATTTACAAATTTAATAAAAAAAATACAAAAATTCACTTTAATTCTATGTAGTAAACATTTTTGTTGGTGACCACATAGCAGGGATCATAGTTGATTTTTGGAAATTCATGCTTCATAATTTCCATTTGACGCAATGAGTACTCCTCTTTGACATCTGCGTTCTCATAGAACTGCACGTAATCCATGGGTGAGCGGATGTCCTTGAAATCAAATGCTTTAGCTTTATCCTCCTTTGATATGACTTCACTTAGATCGCTAGTATGATAGGTCGCCATTTGATAGAGATTAAGCACAGTTTCATTTTCAAAGCGAAAAACAGTCAACTGGGAGGAGGTGTTGAATCGCTAAATTAAGGAAAATTCTAAACGTTTTAACAATTTATATTTCATATTTAAATACTCACATCCTCATCGCCAGTACGCAATGAAGCCATTGCACTGCTGATCACTCCTACCGCATTCACTGCATTGCTCGGCGACAAACTGTCGCTGCTGGATGGCCCACTTGTGGTCGCACTAGTATCTGCACTATATGAGGCTGCTATATTCATGCCAGCAAGCAGCGAGTCAAAATCTTCACTCACGTCGCTCACATTGGCCACTTTCTCGGCATAGTTATCTTCTTTTTCAACATCTGTGTCGCGATTCTCCTTTTCTGTATTCTTTTCGATGTTCTGAGATATGGTTTCCTTTGGATTATGGGCATTTATATCAACATATTGAATAGTGTAGAGCAAATTTGAGCTTATTAGTATATCGAAACAATTCTTCGGGATTTTATATAAAAACAGTGGCTTCAAACTAATATCAATGCTATGAACAGTCAGACTGTTTGTGTGACTGTGCAGCGCGCTTAGCAGATAGGTGCTTCGCAGATTCTGTATGGTGTAAAAGGAACCACTGGAGTTGTTAAGCACTTCGGGTGTGAGTGATGGTGAATCCATAATAGCGAAATTGCCAAGAGTATTTTCAGGCATGTCTGCAACGAAAGACAAAAACGATTAGAAATGCATGGCCGCCAATTAAATTCGTAAACAACATCAATTTCTAATTGTAATGTAACGAAACTTGGGAGATGAAACAAATGTTTGGAGGACATATTTGTACAGAGAACGCAAAATCGCAGGTGAATTAAGAGTTCGCGCTAAGTGAGTATTGAAACACGAGTTTTGAATGTCTGATTTCACTAACTGTTCGGCGAAAATGATTGTAAGCATGGCAACAACTCATGTGTTGTGGCATAAACGTTGGCTAAACTCACCGCGTTTCTCACGCAATCTATTTAACAAAATTACAATACATTTTATAACTGAGAAATTAAAAAGGAAAAGTTTTTATAAAAAGCAAATTATAGTTTTAGAAAATACAGTAGTTAGAAAAATGTATACGAATTAATTTTTCCAAATTATTATTTTTTTAATGTTTTATGCGATNGTTTTATAAAAAGCAAATTATAGTTTTAGAAAATACAGTAGTTAGAAAAATTTATACGAATTAATTTTTCCAAATTATTATTTTTTTAATGTTTTATGCGATAAATATTATGCGAACCAGTAATTAATTTACTTACAGTCTTCAAGTTTTTGCCGATTATCGGAAAGACGCATTTTGATGGCATTAAGCTTTTTTGTGCCTAGGCTCTTCAAAGAGGCTAGACGCGCACGTGCCGCTGGCAAAATGCCAGCACGCGCATTCACATCGTCCAATTCAGGCAGCTGTTGTTGTGTGAAACGTACACCCGTCGCAGAGTTTCCATTGCCAATGGCTGTAGTAGAGGAAATGCTGGTGCTGCTATTCGTCGTACCCGCATTGTTTCCACCTAATGCAGATATGCTTGTTGTGGTTGCCGTGTCTAAGTGCCGATTTATAGCCACTGTGTAAGGTGGTGGCGGTGGTGGAACTGCTGTCTTCGGCATTTGCATATGAGCACCAGAAATCAAGCCCGAACGTCGCAGTTGGACACCATTTGATGTGCTCGGAACTTCATCGTTTTTTAGAAATACATCTTCATCCAACTGGCTGTTGTCCGATGCCGGATCAGAGCAGTTACTTTGCGTTTTTAGTGGCATAACGATTTGCCAATCACTGTCCCGGCCGTGCACGGTGCTGGGTGACAGCTCGCCGGGATAGATGTATTTAATGGCCTTTTGTTCCAGTAGCAACTTAAATTGCTGCTTCAGAGAGGAAGTAATCTGTGAATGTTCATTGCATTAGCGAGAATTTGTTAGTGGTTACATAGAATAAAGTTCTTTATTTTAAACTTACCAGTAACATAACACTCTCGAAAGTGCTGTCTTTGCAAATAAGCAGCTTTACTATGGACCCCGTTTCGATTGCGGTACTCGCGACAAAAGGACAATTGGGACTCAAACCAACAAAACATATGGAACCGTCCGAATAGCCAATAACAGCGCGATTTACGCCATCAATAGTTTGCCACCATACAACCGCCAGTGGATATGGACAAGTTACCGATGCCATAAAGGAAGTAGCCATGACTTGTGCATTACCCGTCTTATCTTCACTGACATTAGGTGGTGCGCTGGGCGCAAGCATGCTAGCGGGCACATCATGGCTATAAGCTTCGAGATTCGCATCGACTGGCAGTTTAGGTGCGATATTCACCTCAACTTCAACGAGTAATTGTGACGCCTGTACGATACTTTCCCGTGAATCTGAAAGTTTTTCGCCCTCTGCTGGCTGCACAGCCACTGCAAGGCTTTTTCCCTGCTCGTCGCTATCCGTAGGCATTACGGGTGGTGATGGAGATTGCGGTTTTACTGTTTTCTCATTGAATGTGGCCTGGTTAGGGCACTTTTTTGAATTAGGACACTCGTGTGGTCCAACAAATGGGATAATGTATGAGGTAATTTGTGTTGTGCTGTATGGCTGCTGCGGCGGATGCGCTGAATTCGTTGGCTCCATGAATGTTTTGTCAACCACAGCGAGTGCAGGCACAATGTGCAGTGTGTTATCGAAGCCTTGCAATTTGAAATTAATATTATAAAGTGTTAATATAAAAATATATTTTAGAGGTTTGATTAAAAGTTAGGTTTATGTGTAGTTTAGGAAAAACATTAGGAACATCATGTTATAGAACCCCCGAATATGGTAATTCATATAAGTATTTATGAAGTATTTACAATTTATTTACAATTTGACAACTTATTTACAAATTGAAGACTGATTAAAATTGGGTCTCAATAAAACAATTTAAGTTTCCTTTATAAACAACCAATACGTGCCAGAACTTTTTGATCTAATACATATGTATGTACGAAAGAAAAATGCATTCGATAATTCAGGTTATACAAATTGTGTAAACTCAATTTACAGCGACAAGCTGTCTAGAGCGACAATGATGGCGTGATAGCGTACAGAGACACTGACGTTGACGGCACACGCAAAACAAAGACGAGGCCGTAGGTCTTTTGCATTTATCAAAGTATTGACATATACTGCACCCCACTTCTTTTGCTACCATGTTACTTTCACAGTTCAACGTACCCTAACACCTATGCGTAGAAAGCGTAGCGGTCGCCGCAAAAATCAATTGATAAACAAACATGTAGCGCAAGCTAAACAAAAAAACGAAAATCAATAGCATAAAAAACCGATGGAATATCTTTTAGGANTTTCACAGTTCAACGTACCCTAACACCTATGCGTAGAAAGCGCAAGCGGTGGCCGCAAAAATCAATTGATAAACAAACATGTAGCGCAAGCAAAACAAAAAAAACGAAAATCAATAGCATAAAAAACCGATGGAATATCTTTTAGGAGGGTAAATGTCCAAGCGAAGCTATCGTTTAAATCACATAGCTTTGCAGCTTTAATCACGGCACTTAAAGCCCCGCACCGAGGCACACATACTCATCGGCATAACCATGCGCGGTTGAACACCCCCAGCTGACACAACAAACCCCACCCACAAATCACATTTTCATACCTTAATAAGTAATAATATCTACAGATTTTGATAAATTTAGGGCATGGATAAATTTAATTATGACCGTTAGCTAAGTATTAAAATAATTTACGCAGCAATATGCATAGCACGGATTTGGTCACTTCCAAGTCAGGTAAGCATATTTTTAACCGACTTCCAAAAAAGGAGGTTATCAGTTCGTCGGAAATTTTTTTTTATGTATGTTACCGCATAACTTTGGACCACGTCCCATACTAATCTGGTTCAGATCCGATCATTGGATCATGAAATATATATATATATATATATATAAATATTTTTTTTAAGTTTTTTTTTGCTAAAAATTACTTGTCATTTGACCCTTTTAACGGTAAAGTATACTTACACAGTACCAACAGCCAAGTGCCGGAGGGATCAAAGCAAACGTCATGCACTACCCGATTGGTGCGTCGAAACCAGGAAATCAATTTAAGCACTTCCTGTCCGCCTTCACTTGTGTAGCGCAGCACAATATCATTTTCTTCAGAGACGAGACACAGTAATTGTTTGCGAACATCGTACTCGCTCACTGTGGATAATTTGCAACTAAAATTAGTGATCAGCGGGCGCAGCTGAAAGATTTCTAATTCCTGTAGTAACGCAGACATCCCGTCTACAATTGCTACGGGGGCGGTGGGCTGGACTGACGAGGTATGAAAGTATTTGTGCGTGGAAAAGGAAAAAATTTTATATTACTTTTAGTTAGTTGCTTACAATTTTCTTTGCTAATACGTTTATTCTTTTGTCTTTGCTTGATTTTGCACACACCTATGCTAGCGCTGCATACGATAATGGGAGAATATTTTTTTCACTGCTGCTTGTGCTTCCCTTTTTCAGGCCTTTTTTCTGACACCTTTTTAT